TGCAAATAACTTTATTACCCTAAGCGTATGAATACTTATGAGTAGTTTCCCAATTCTGAGGCACTCAGATTGGGAGTAAAAACAAATGTTTCCATTTTTGTTTACAAAAGTATACTTTACCAAATTGCTGTAAGGTATAAATAGCTTAAAAGAGAAAGTTCATAAATCTGGAGAATAAAACATTCAAAGAATCAGCACATTTTCAAATAAAAAATTATGAAAATATTTTCCTTTCGATTATTTAGTGCAATAAAACTGAGGTGTTTTTTCTTCTTTGTCTTGAATTTCATGAAAGTATCAGCCTGTTCGTTAAAATTTTGAAAGTTCTCAGAGAGTCCAGGGGTATGATCTTGAAGTTATCAGAAACTTGTACTCAAGAGTCGTTGTCAGAGTCTTTTCCATATATCTCCTTGAAAAAAAGCAATTTTGTACTGTAGCTGACTGTAAATACCTCGAGGAAGAACCAAAGCAACTGTCTGGGAATGACAAAGATTTAAAAGGACCATGGTTAAAAATCTGAGAATTTTATTAGGTTTATTATGGTAAAGACACAGCTCACATAGAAATCTAGTTACTTCTGTAGCATATGACACTATGACTGCTAACATATTCAATTTCCAGAAATTTCATACAGTTTTTAGAACTCATTTTTTAAAAAATATTTTAATTTTTTTTTTGAGATGGCATCTCGCTCTGTCGACCAGACTAGAGTGCAGTGGCAGAATCTCTGCTCACTGCAAGCTCCAACTTCCACCTTCACGCCATTCTCCTACCTCAGTCTCCTGAGTACCTGGGACTTCAGGCGCCTCCCATCACACCCCGCTAATTTTGTTTTTGTGTTTTTAGTAGAGACGGTGTTTCACCGTGTTGGCCAGGATCGTCTCGACCTCCTGACCTCATGATCTGCCGGCCTCGGCCTCCCAAAGTGCTGGGATTACAGACCTGAGCCATTGCGCCCAGCCTAGAATACCCATATTATTAGCATTCCCATAAATATTATTTAGAGAAGGTTTAGCATCACTTATCACTCATTTGAAAATGCTTTATATATATTTTAATATATCAAATAAGGTGACTTGTCCATTCATCTTCTGTTTCCCAACAGGATTACTGAGTTCTTGGTGTAGCCCATTAATAGTTAGGGCCAAAAACATATAGTCCCATGTATGTTCAAAAAGGTCCTTAGGTAATTCTAGTTCTTCTAGCTGAAAATCATTGATTTAGTTTTAAATTCTACCGATTACAACAAGAGTTGTCCATCCTCATTACATGTTAGTAGTGTCAGGGAAGACTTAAAAATTACCAATGCCTGGGTCCTTCTCGAGACCTTTAAACTGGAACTCATGGGTGGGGCTTGAGCATTCACATTTAAAAATGTTTTCCATTGATTCCAATGTGTAGCTATATTTTCCATCAGATTTCTCTGATTTCTTGTGGCCTTCACTTTTTTTCTATTTTGGTATCATGATTATTTTCAGGTGTCACTTTCTGTCTTAGGCTTTATGTCCCCTGGGGTAGGGACGTTGCCTTCTTCATTTCTGTATCTTTTCTGAACTTGTGAATTGGTCATCAGGAAAAGGTCTCAAGCACACATAGGTTTTGTTCTGAGTCTCAGGTTCACAGGCTAATTCTAAAGTCTTTGTTCTCCAGGAGGTCAGAGATTGCTTGTGATGAAGGGTGTGGTTACATCTGTAGTGAAGATGGTGGAGGGGAGTTCACCCTGTTTTTAGGCATAGCTTTGAAACTAAGAATTTTATGTCTATATAGGTGAAGTGGCAGGGATGGGTAGGAAGACAGTTCTAATTAGGACGGAGGAATTATACTAGGAAGTAGAGGTAAAGGAAGTGAGAAGAATTGGTAAATAGAAGCAATTTAAGCTTACCAAATAGACTAGAGTAGACAGTGGAGATTCTTGATTAAGTGAATTAACTAGATTTTAGAAAGGTAATGAGAGAGTCATACGCAAGGAAGGTTTCAAAGTCTGGAGATAAGAAGTCAAGCAATACTTTGAGAAGTGGTTGAGCTTTATGGGAATGGAAAGAATTACACTGTTGAGAGATGTTAAAAATAATGAAAAGGGTTTCACAATATGAAATTGTGTTTCTCATTTGAATCTGAGCAACAAAAAAGCAGAAGCCGGAGATAATTAAGTATGAAAGGCATTGGGGTACAGGCAGCATAAAGGCCAGGGAGAAAGGGAACTGAAGGAATTAGTGCTGAGAAGCAGGAGTTCGGTGGAGGAAGGAGGAGATCCAGTCCAGATACAGGCAAATAAGTCTTTTCCCTCTCCCAAGCATGGCAGTCAGCCCTGCATGATACAGGACAAGAGAAAAGGCCATCATACCTGCCAGACTTCCTGAAATACAGAAATGACATCACGGCTGCTATGTCGAATAATGCCAGGATAGATGTCCTCTTCTTAAAGGAGCTGTCATGGAAAGAAAAGAAAAGAAGGAATGGAGATGATGTTATTTTACAGGGGTGAACCTCAGGAACCAGCATGTGACATGAGGTACTCTATAAATGTTTCTTCAAGAAATGTATTATTTCTGTTGGAAAGTTGATGGGAGATGATTATATTCTTGCAGTTTTTATCCCCTCTCACCATATTTCTAGGTTTTTGATCAGTCCTCTGTCAGTTCTCTACTGCACTCAGATATTTCCAAAAGCTTTCAGATGGGAGAAAGGCTAGTCGCTATTTTCTATGTCAGTAGAACTCTCCACCTTTCCACCTTTTCATGGTTGCAACTTTTTCTCAGTGTCTCTGTGGTGGCAACTATGAATGAGACCCTGTTAGGTCTCTGTGTCAGGGACCTGATTGACAGAAGGCCCAGGTCAGTGCAT